ATTCCTTGGCTGTCAGTTCATATTAGAGAGTGAATCACTAAAAAGTTGACTGGAAGTACTGAATAAAAGACTTGAAGAGTGGTGGGCTTCACTAGTGACTGAGTGATCAGGTGGCTAGCTTTTTTTTTTTTAATTACAGCTATAGTATCTGTAGTTATTTTCCCTGGGGACAGCTCTGATTCTTTTGATCTCTTTGATTGAGAACATGATTCCAGCTTCTGAAGTTCTGGAAGTAAGGGCAAATGGGGGGTGAGGGGGAAGAGATCCATCATTCAGTGTGCAGATTCTCACTGAGTTCTTGTTTTCAGGACAGCTCATCACCCTTGCCCTCCTCTGTGCCGAGCATCTCTAGCTCAGTTTCCTCATAGAATAAACTTCTAGTTCCTTGAAGGAGTCAGGGAGTGTACACAAGATGGAGGTAGGTTTCTGGGTCTCTAAATATTTTTAATTAAACATGATTTCAGCTCTTCCTTATCCCCTTCCTCTGAGGTTTTTAGTATCCTGAATTCTTGTTGTTTTCTCAGATTCGATGAGAACAAAGTGACTTGCTTCCTGATAGTCACTCCCCCTCCTCATGCATTTAAGTTTGATCTTCCTCTTTTCTACTCAATAATTTACCATTTTTCTTCAATCTGCTTTCTGCCTTCATATATTATGGTTCAAATTACAGAATCTTCAATGTAGGTTCATCAAAGACGGAGGATGAGTCTTCTGGTTTTTGTTCTCCTTGTTATTTGCGGGGTCTGATCTTTCTTGGAGAGAAGGGGTTTGAAATACCTCTGTCTGCTGTCTTCACATGGGAAATCCTCCATTTCGCCTTAATGATTTTTCAAAATTACGTCTGAGACTATACTTCCTCAAGTTTCTTTTCTTTTAAAAGAAGGATTATATAAATTACTCATCAAAGGTGTTACTGAATTACATTGTATAATTGCATATTTATTGCATTGTATACAATTACATTGTATAATTATATACTAACATACATAACTAGAAATGAGCTTGTCATTAAGCACTCAGCACTGATAAACCACAAACAATCATATTAAAAATTGTTATGGGTGAGATAGAAAAAGGTAAATACATAATTCAAAAATAAACTGTTTTCTAATTTGGATATATATTGACAATATAGAAAATATTAACCAATACTGTTAGAAATTAATACCTTATCACCTAGTTCAGAAGACTCTGTTACTGTTGGAATTACCCAGCTAAAACATTTTGCTAGGCAAGCTATTTAGCACTGATACAGTTTTTGTTTTTTTAATACAGTGTGTTTCTCCATAGTCATGGTCCTTTCTGCAATATTGTTTGAGAACATGCATATTAATATACATTGTAAGTTAGGTCTTAAAAAGCATAATCTTGTCAGTTTTCACAATAATGAAAATTATTTATCTTGCATTAGACAAGGCATTAATAGACCTCTTTTTAAAAAAAAGCCTTAAAAATCCATTTGTGAAGAAATTTTTTGTAAGTGTCCCTTTAAGGGTTGGTAATCTATACATACTGTCTTAGTTTGGGCTGCTATTAAAAAAAAAAAATCACCATACTGTGGGTGGCTTGAACAGCAAACATTTATTTCTCACAGTGCTGGAGACTGAGAAGTCTGAGATCAGGGTGCTGGCAGATCTAATGTCTAGTGAGGACCCCTTCCTGGTTTACAGATAGAGAGCTAGGAGAGGGAGCAAGCTCTCTCTTCTTACAAGGGCACCAATTCCATTTCAGGAGGGCTCCACCTTCATGACCTAATTCCCTCCCAGGGGCCCCACCTCCTAATTCCATGACATTAAGGTTTAGGAATTCAACATATGAATTTTTTGAAAGAGGACACAAACATTCAACCCATAACATATACTAAGTTCTGGGTCATACAGCTGAATATATTGAAACCGGGAGGGAAAAATACCTTCTTGAATGTTTCTTACTTTTGAAAACACTTTTATATTTTGCTCAGGACACTAATAGTCATTATAACCAAAATCAGAATGAGCCAATAACAAGGTATTTCTATAATAACTACTTGTTTTGAAAGAAAAAATATATTTTATATGTTCAGAATTCTTTTAGATACCCTGTAATAATCCTTAGGGACAATTAGCCTTTCTTGGCTAAATAAACTATCTATCTATCTCTATGAAATATTAAACACATACTTATTCTTCTGTCTTTATTGCTTACCTTATCATGAATATAAAAGTAACATGTTAAATTTGAGATATTTTGAAAATATGGAAAATAATAAAGAAAAAATATTATTACAGTGTATAGAGATAGCTACCTTTAAAAAAAATCCATATTAGCATATTTCTCCCATCCTTTTTAAATGCAGAAATCACACTGCACACAGTAAAAGGAGGCCCAATTTACTGGGTACTTCCTAAATGCTAAGTGCTTCACATACATTGTATCAATATCCTATAAGCCAGGTGTTTTATGCCTAATCTGTATATGGAAAAATTGAGGATTAGTGATTTAAATAACTTGCCCAGAGCCACACAGCTGGTAATTGGCCACACTGAGATTTTGGCACAAGATTGCCCAATGTTAAAGTCCATATTCTTTACTATTATGTTTCTTTTCTTTACCATTATAACTAATTTTCCATGTCATTAATAAATCACTGCAAATATCATGTAAAGTAAAAAATGTAAAACTCCTGTATGATTAGGCTTGTCTCACGGAAGCCCTGCAGTCAATGAGTAATAATATATATATTTTTAATTTAATTAAATGGCAAAATTTAAGAGCAAAAATGGAATATCTTTGTTGTTCAAGTTAAAATGTATAGAGACTTTGAATGTTTTTATAAGCTTATTAGGCATTTGTATTTCTAAAGATATATATTTCTCAAATAAGGACAATGTAAACCAGAAACTACAAGATGACTCTTTGGAACAAACACAGTATTATTACCTCACCGATTCTGGTTATATTGGGCAGGTACAGTAGTAGGTGGATATGTTGGAAGACCTAATTAAAAGATCTGAAAATATCTAGATTTGTTCTCTTTCCTCATTTCAGATTAAACTAGTTTAACAAAGTTAGAAAATCAATTCATTTTTGCCTGCTATGGGTTGTTGTATTAATGGAGGTAAGACTAATAATTAGTATTTTAATTCTTACATATATAAATGATTTGCTTAACGTTCCTAAAGATAGTTGATTCTAAGACTTTAAAATTCTCTCCTTAAAATCTGGTTTACATCATTATTTTTATATCTAAAGAAAAATAGTAAAAGAAAAAGGTATTTACTAAGCAAAGATAAATGCTAACTAAATCCTTATTTGAAATATCACAAAATCACAGATTAATGCAGCTTTAATGCATTTCCAATACTTAGTTATTCTGATTTCCTCTCTGGCTACACTACTTTCACTGTAATCTATTTAATACAAGAGTTGGAGCCACTGATGCATTCAGTTTGATTTATCTAGTGACAAATACCTCAATTATCCTCCTAGGGAAAATTATTTTCTTGAGAGTAAATCTAATTTTGGTTTAATCCTCCAAGTAATTTTAATTCACTCTCTCTATATCTTGACAAAAGTAATTATGAAAGAAAAAAGCCATTATGAATATACTATTATGAAATGTAGAGAAAGTATCACATCAAAAAAGACATACACATTTTCAGTTGGTGTTAGTGAATTATGACCTTGGAAGTTACAAGAATATGCCAGAATGATTTAGCACCTATAAACCACAGAAGGGTAAAGAAATGTATGGCTGAGAAGATGGGAATTTTGTGATTTGAGAGGTGAGTAAATGGGTTGCAATATCTTGCCACCTTAGTCTGCATGGTGTACTGGTAATATGGGCATTGACTTAATGGCTCATTGGCTTAATGGCTCATTTGTTAATGGAGAAGCTTTAAACTTTATGTCAACATTTATGTAAAATTTAAGTTGCACATAAATATATAGTTAATTTGAATTTGCTGTTTCAGATGTCTGCAATTTCCTTATTAACAGTTTACTTCTATTCATATAGGCTTGGCTTGAGATAACCAATCTAGATCATGTCTACAAAGGAAACAAATTGTATTCATTTTCACTGTAAAAGATAACACAAACCCCACAAATTTCCAGTAATCGATATTAAGAAATGAACGTCACTGGACAAAAATCGTAAGAACTACAAAAGTCTGAGATTCTGACATTGAAGAAGACTTCCAGCTAGACCAGCCTATTATGTATGTTTTGTGAACACATACAGTTGGAAATGCAGATTAGCACAACCTTCCTACAAAGTGATTTGGCAAATGTATCAAAATCTTAAACAATGCATAAGATATCCATCATAGTAATAATTACACATTATAACAACATGAAAAAAATGATCAGTGGGTAGGGGAAAGATTTATGACAATGTTAAGTTAAAGCAAGATCTATATAGTATGATGTAAACGATGTTAACATATGTGTAAATATGCATTTGTATGTGTGCATAAATATATAAAGACCAAAGGTTTTTGACATTATTCATTTCTCAGTAGTGGAAATACTGGTGATTCTTCTTTGTATTATTATGTATTTTCTATATTGAGCATATGGTCCTTTAAAAATAAGAAAAAATTCTTTAAAACAAATACAAGGAATAACAGCAACATTTCTCTGTTTTTCTTTTCTTTCATTATCTTTTAAAAATGTGAATAAACCAAGGAAGCTCATTGTTATTAGAATTCATTCGTTAATTCAATTGAGAACTATTTCTAAGCACTTGCTATATGTCAAACATTGTTTTAGGCACCAGGCATTCTGCAAGTGAGGAAAATAAAACTCGTGTCTGGGAGAGGAACAAATGTTACCTTTATCACATAATGGTGAAGTGCTATGAATGAAATATTATTCATTAATATGCTATACTTTTAGAGATAGAAAACAAAAGTTATAAACTTATTTAGCAAAGAATATAAAAGTCTCTCCTTTAATTAATCTAAGGCATATAAGTTTTCTTAATTAATTAAAGAAATTGAAATTGTTTGATTACTTACCCCAATATTAAACATCCCTGTAAAATACTCCATATTTGCTTGAATGAACCAAATGTTGCTTAAACCTAGTTCATCACTTCTCTTCTTAGCACGAATTAATGATAATTCCTTGTTTTCTATTAATGTAACCTAGATTTCACCCAGGAAACAATAGTACATTCAGTAACATAATTCAGATATTAGGGCAAAGTATTATTACTGTATAGCTTTAATGTAGAACATACTACACTGATCCTTATCTTGTGCTAGGAAGTATGCCAGATAATGTGGTATAAAAATGAATAAGGTCCTTGAACTCTTGGAGCTTAGAGATGGAGTGATGTAAGAGCAAGAGGCAATTATAATACAGTGATAAGTGTTTAATGGAAGACATTGTGTGTTATCAGAACAGTCAGACTTGATGACTAAAGAAGGTTTTAGTCATTTAACATGGAGAATAACATACTAACCGAGGCCTAAAAAATGAATAGAAATCAGCTGGAGGAATGAAGGAGTATTTCAGACAGAGAAAGAAACATGTGTGAAGGCCAAAGAGTGTGTTTGAAGAACTGAGAAAATTGGTGTAGCTGGGTCACAGTGTGTGGTGGTGATGGTGAATGGGGGGACAGGGTGTGGAGGGTAGACGTGAGGCTGGAGAGGTGATAGGAGCCAGATCGTGTGATCAAAGAAGGTCCCAGGGCTGCCATGGATAGTATGGATTAGTGGGGGTGAGACAGAAGGAAGGGCAACCAGTTAGGAATCCAGGCCAACGAAGACCGGAAAGGATTACTTGTTTAGACAGAGAAAAGTGGGCAGAATTGTCACTTTCATCACTATCATTCCTAGTTCTACCCTTATTTTGTCTTTATGCTTGTGTTTACAGAAAAAATCTGTATGCCTTGTATAAAAAACCTGTCAGAGTACACTTGGTATCAAAGGCTTTCCAGCCATTATTCTAGCCAAGATTTCCCCTTTAAAGGCTCAACATCTCTAAGTGTCCAGACTGTTTGGGAAGGCGGGGGAAAGACACCATAACCCTAACTCTGTGTCTCCAGGGTTCTACTTTATGAGCTTTCTTCCTCTAACTCTAACCACCAAGTTGTTACTTTCCTTGATTACAGAACAGACACCTGCTAGTTTCCCCCAGGATTCCTTACTTATTTTGCCCTTTATTTTCAAAGAAAGGAAAAAAATAATACACCCTTAACCCCCAGCATCCTGTTATATGTCATTCTGGCCAGTCTATGGGTTCTTCCTCATCTTTTTCTTCTATAAGGAATCACTGTAATTATTTTGCACCTTCCAGAGAGTTCATGAGCAAAGAAACTGCCTCATTTGTTTTGTATTTTTTTTAAAAAGTCATCAAATTCTAGACTTTTATGCTAAAAGATGGTCACTGCAAAGAAATGATTTCATATGGCAGAAGACTAAAAATAATAACCTTCTAACAAATGGCGGCAACGACTGCATAAATTCTGGTACATTTACTTAAAAACGTACTATGTAGTTAGATTTTGGTGATATTTTAATAATGATATTTAAAAGTATTTGCAATAGGGAAAAACATTTATGCCACAATACTGAGTTAAAGCTGATGACTAAAATTATATTTGCGTTTTTAGCATTTGCGGCAATAAGCATCCTCCTGGACAATGACTTAATGAGAACATGGGGAGAAAAGCATTTGATGGATGAGTGTGGTAAATTTGGAGTTTATTTTTTTCTTTAAGGAATTTTGTAATTGCTGTTACAATTTTGGTACAATGGATAAAAACCAAGATACCAAAAGAATATGCTTAACAAGTTTCAGGAGCTAGTATATCCAGTATAAAATTCTGGGGACAATTAAACTAGTTTCACCACTAAGTATTTTATTTAACAACAGAATGGTTATTCCCTCTAAAACTTATTTTAAAATATAACCCTTTTATAAAGATTGCAAAATGTATTGTGATCCTACTTTACTTTTTTTAAAGATTCTTAGAAGTTTAGTTCAAAGAAAAAAAACTGTGCCACATAATGTGACCTGAGTGAACAATTAATAAATTCAAAGAGCAGGGGTCAGACACAGACTCAGCGAACTGAACTGGGTAGTTTTCCAGTGTTTCCTATTATGGGTTATTCAGATTTTACCTGGCACGATGGCAGCATGTGAGCAAGGACAATTCCAACATGGCCCTGGAAAAGGCAGAAAAAGAAACAAGTTAACTTTGGTCCCTAAGGCTTTTTTCTCATTCTGAGACAGTAGTCTTGCCAAATAAAAACATGACTTTGAATGTAATCCAGTAAAGTCACATAGTCGGGGAAAGGCTAAAGAGAACAAAAGGAGGGATGTAATACCCCACCACTGCAGAAATCCACAATTCTGTCACCAGGTTTGGCCTGATTTGCCACGACATAAACAAGGTTGTTTAACTGCTGCTGCTTCCTCAAAGCTCGATCACTGGACATTTTACCTGGGGAAGACAAGAGATGAAGACAATGAAATATTAGGCATCGTGGGGGAATAAGAAGGTACTCATAGAGTAGACCACCGGCATCCAGCAAGAGGGGTAAATGTATAAATGAGTTCCAAATTCCACATCATCCACCATGAGAGGAACAGAGAACTGAAACCCAGAAATGAACTCTCTCTATGCTTATTTTTACTTTTATTCATGTCCAACTTCTCTGTCAATAGCCATTGAAAAAATGTCTTCTAGAGAGGAAACAATAAGTGAAATATTAATGGCAGAGTCATAAAGTGTTCAATAAATGTTTACTGGATGGATAAAAATTAACAGTAACAGTTTCTTCCCTCTATCCCTATCAGAGACAGATTGCAAAGACTACCTAATTTTAGCACATTGTTTAAATCTCCTTGGACAAAAGAGATCCATAACAAAAACATTTTCATTATTTAACTGGCACGCCCTTGAACTCTTAGTTTTTCTGGTTAGGAATGTTGGAACATAGATGTCACATTGTCTGAAATATATCAATAGTTAGTGTATTTAGAGAGAAATTAGATTTTACCATTTTGGCTTTGAAGCTTCTTTTCCTCATGAGTCAGACACAGAAATCTAATGCAATTAGAGATTAAAGATAGGGCATTTCCAAGTATGAAATGCCTTGGGCCTAGCAGCATGAACATCTTAACTTTTCTTCAAAGCCACTAGTTAAGTACACGAAATAACTTCAGAAGAATGAATAAAATTATTTGTTTTTACATATTTCACATGCACTTTTTGTAAGAGCAAGATTAAGAAAATATAAGGGAGCAGATCTCATTGATATAGATAAAAGGCAAATCCAGATAATCTCTTGGCTTGATCAAAAATTATTTAGTTACCAACGTTTCCCTGCTCCATTTTCACAGAAAAATAGCCTGGCTTTTTTCTTTTCTTCTCTTTTCTGTTTTCCTTCTTTCTTAGGTTACTGTAATAAAAACACTGGAAACCCTTTATTTTAGGAAAAAAATAGAAAATATGAATAAAAAAATCTATATGAGAGAAAAAGATCCATAATCTAATAATTCAGAGCTAGTATCTTTGTATATGTATACTTCCAGCTGTATCCATAAATTCATAATGTTCTAGATGCATATAAAACCTTGATTGCTGTAAGTTTTAATGGCTGCATAGTATTCCATTGACCATATCTACCACACTTCTATAACCAATCTATTGTAATAATGTGGTCGTCATCATACAGCTAAATCACTGTACACATTCTTAATTATTTAGCATGGCCTAATGTGAATTTCAAACCTGAAGGGCATTTAAATCAATAGTTTGGTGACTTCATTTATGAAGACTATTTCATGTAGCTAGCTTTTCACTTTTCTCTAATAATATAATTGTGAAAAATTTAAAATAAGTAAAAGCCCCGTCATCCTACTAGGATAATTTTCAACACAGCAAAGTTGAAAGAATCTTACAGTGAATGTGTCTAACCTCCACTTAGATTCTACCACTACCAACTTACCATACTTGGTTTAATCACACTTCTGTTCATCTAACCATCTATCCATCCATTCATAAATCTACCTTATTTTTTATGGCAATGCAGTTCTGATTTGGAAAAGGAAGAGTAACAACACGAAGGGGAGGAGAGTGGCAAAAAAAGAAAAGTATTTTTGAGCCCTGTCGGAAAGCTAGAGTCACAAATGCTGCTGCTTAATGGAGCCACCAAGAGGCAAGAAATGAACACAAACATTTTAGTCCTCCTTTTGTGGATTTCTTAACATTGCTTAGCCAAAGGATTTTCATAAAGTCAAAAGGAATTACCTTTTGTTAAGAATATGGAGAAAAGAAAATTTATTTAATGGAACAACTAGCTGGAAGTTTTGTACCATATTTCTATTACACATTTAGAATTATCTAACTTTCTTGGGTTTGCTTCAAAAGCAAATGTTGATGAAGATTGCATCTTTGCATATAAAGAATTCATGCTGATATGAAGGTTGAAGGCAAAGAGGTAGTTTTCAGGATTTGCTTAAATAGACACCATTAAGTTCCACATAATATTCACAAATCAAGCTAAAAATATGGTAGCATGATGCTCAGACGCTTTATGGAAAATCCACCTCAAATAAAGCATTCCTCCTCCCATTCCAGTTATGTAAATATTATGAAGCTCCTGGAAACATGAACAGGATCTCAAACACATTGAACAAAGTAAGAAAGTGGTATTTTGAGATATGGTATTAATTTAAAAATCCAGTCTACTTTCTATTTATATCCAACATTCTTCTGCCTAAGACACCACTTATAAGCATGAATTTACAATCTATTTTTAGTTTGACTAAAAATGCTGGTTCTTTAAGTGCTATCACAGAAAAAGAAACCCAAGAATAAAATGGTCAGATGTTTTAATACAAATGATTTCATTCTTTCTGTGATGTAATTCTCCCACAGTGAAGTCTTCCCCTTGTCTAATTCAAGTTAGGAGGAACCTGATTATTTAGACAATTTCAGTGTTGTTTGCATTGCCGAAAAGGAAAATACAAAGGTAAAGGAATAAATTTTTAAGCAAAGGAAGAGCTATGTTAGAACATCGGCATCATCTATGTTCTATAGGGCAATAGACAGTGAAATGCAGGTCCCATCCCCAGGGTACCTACAGTTTTCATGCTTGGAATATCACTTGGGCACCTACTATGCTCAGTACCCGTCTATATGCTGAGGACACATCTCAAAGTGAGTAAAACATAGTTCCTGTCCTTAGGGAGCTAAGAGAGTATCTAAAGGAAGTTACGGGTGTTCATTATTTGCAAACGTATGTGCGCTGAAAATAAAGGACTAAATGAAACATCACAGAGGGCTTTACAGAGATTTGAGGCATTTCAGTTGAGTCTTTAAGGAGGAAGAGAAACTTACCAGACAGAATGACAAGGGAAAGCATACTAAGAACAATATGACATATTTAGGGGAAAACCGCAATTAGCTCATGTGCTTAAAAATGAGGATAGATGAAGAAATGGTAGAATACAAGATAGATCTGAGGATATAGGCAAGACCAGATAGGAAAGAGCATTGCTTGTTATTTTGCCTCTCTCTGCTATAGAGAAACCAGGGCCTCATTTTAATATTTAATGTGCTTAGAGCTCCTTAGACTCAAGTTTTACTTGAATAGACAGCACAGTTATTTTTACATTATTACATATTAAAGATGTTCTCTTATAATGCTAGCCTGCATCATTTTTATTCAGGATAGAGTATATCCTCAAATCAAATCAGATTATTAATAGATTTCTCTGGCACATTCAACCTCAAATGATGCCAATTATCATTATGTCATTTAATTAAGAAAATGAAATAGAATCAACTCTTTGGAACTCATTGACTCATTTGGAACTCATTTGAACCCTGGTGTTCTAGATCAAGAAAGTCCTTGGACTCCTTATTGGATATTCCTTCTCACTCCTTCCCAGGCTCTCTTCCCTTGGTATAGCTCTGAAATGCTATGCTCACTAGGTCCTGTCTTTTGTGCCATAGCTTGTCATTGAGCATGCTTTTCCTGTGTATATAACTAAAGACCCTTCCATATCTGCCCATTAAAATATCTCTTCTTTGCTTAAAATACCTTTAAAGGCATCTCTCTGTCTTAAGAAAACAATTTTTACTTCTTGGCAAGAAAACAAGGCCTCTACTGATCTGAGACCTGTTACTTTGGCAAACTCACCTTCTGGAACTTTCCTATATATCCTCTATATTCCAGCCTTTCTGACAATGGAGATAGTTCCTTGAATTTATCAAGGTCAGTGAGGTGGTGCCTTTATAAATTTGTTCCCTCTGCTTGAAACCAATTTTCTTGTTTTAGAGAACCTCAGGAACCCTACCAGCTTTCCACTCTCCTGACTACATTTACATTTAGTATTTTGTAATAAATTTTTTAAAAAGACAAAGAAAAAGTAACTTTTTCAAACCCTTTGGTACAACCCCAAATAACTCATCTTTTATACTATAAAGCATTAGTATTGTTAGGTAGTGAAAAAATTTTCTTATACACTTCTGGGTATTTATCTCAAGAAAATGAAAACACTAACTCAAAAAGATATCTGTACCCCTATGTACATTGCAGCTTTATTTACAATAGCCAAGGTATGGAGACCACCTAAGTGTCCATCGACGGGTGATGGATAAAATGTATACAGATATACAATTGAATATTATTCAGCTATACAAAAGAATGAAGTCTTGCCATTTGAGACAACATGGATGGACCCTGAGGGCGTTTGCTAAATGAAATAAGTCAGACAAGTACCATATGATCTCACTTACATGTGAAGAATAGCTTGGTGGTTGCCAGAGGTGGGGGTTGGAGTGGGCGAAATATGCGAAGGGAGTCAGTCAAAAGGTACAAAATTCCAGTTTTAAAATAAATAAGTCATGAGGATGTAATGTATAGCAGGGCAACTATAGTTAATAATACTGTATTGCATATTTGGAAGTTGCTAATAGAGTAGATCCTAGGAGTTCCCATCACAAGAAAAGAATTCTATAACTATGAGTGGTGATGGATGTGAGTTAATTAGACTTATTGTGATCATTTCACAACATATACAAATATCAAATCATTATGTTGTACATCTGAAGCTAAAATAATGTATTTCAATTATATCTTAATTTTTTTAAATGATACATAGGCACTATTAATTATATTAACTACCAAAAGAACCATTAGTTAAAACTGCGTCTTTCTTTTTTTTTAAAGATTTGATTTATTTATTTGAGAGAGAGAATGAGAGAGAGAGAGAGAGAGCGCATGAGAGGGGGTTGGGTCAGAGGGAGAAGCAGACTCCCTGCTGAGCAGGGAGCCCGATGCGGGACTCGATCCTGGGACTCCAGGATCATGACCTGAGCTGAAGGCAGTCGCTTAACCAACTGAGCCACCCAGGGACCCAAAACTGCTTCTGTCTTCCTGAAATAGATACAGATGATTTTTCCTGACCAAATAAACTTGGGTCCAATTA